ATTTATTGAAATCTTAAAGATGTAGCGGGCGTTCTGATTGGCTTGTTTAATTTCAGGGGGAGCTATTGGAGGCAGTGAGGGGAGAACGTTAAACGAAATTGTAACTTCAAACCGCCTTATCACTCTGACCCACCCACGGGAATTTTTGAGACGGGTCGGAACACTAGCTTATTACTTATGATAGTTGGCAAGAAAATCAATAAAATAAACTATGCTAGAAGGATAGAAATCTCTGTCTATATTAAAAATTAATGTAAACGGCACCAAATAAAAATTGAAGTTGATAGTTGATAAAATTTGAAATATTCAAAATTTCTTAGCTTATAATATTTAAGAATATCTCGTCTATAACATTTAAGTACATTCAAACCATAATTCACAAAAAATAATCATCACATAATATTAAAGAATGTAAATTTAGCATTTAGGCATAAATTTAATAATTACATTGTATATAAAAAGATTTTTTTATTTAAAATCAATAACACAATTTAATTAATAATCGTGGCAGCTAAAACTAAGATTTGGGCCTTTACTAAATATACTAAATTTACTAAAATCCACTTATACTTTTTTATAAATAACTCTAATCTTAAATTTTTAAAAAAAAACTAAAAACATGTGCCCCAAAAAATTTTTAAATTTCATATAAAATAGACTTAACTCTCAGCTTTAGTTGTCACAATTATTAATAGCATATATACGTAAATAAAATTTCAATATAATAAATATACGTACAGTAATACAAAATATTAAAATCTTCATGAAACCTGATCATATCAAATTTTTTTCTTTCAATAAGTGAACCTAGATGGGTGACGACTAGCATTCAAAATTTTAAGCTTTGGATACATTTCTTGTAAAGATTTTATTTTAGTTCCTGAAATTTCTGACATACGATAAACTTCATCTAAAATAAAGCTTTTGATTTGCTTATTCTTCAGAAAAATGTCACTAAAAATCTGATCTAATTGAGTTTCATCCAAGGGAACATCATGCTTATATATATTTAACCCAATATCAATAATCTTAAGATTATCATGTAACTCATTAGCAAAAATTCTTAAAGCATTATTTGCATCAATCGTTTTGAATAAATTGAGTTTGAGATTCTCTAATTTGTCACAAAACTGGTAAATTAAAGAAACTTGTTCTAAAGTATAAAGAGGAATATTTAAAGTTTTGAGCTGAAGTGTGTATTGAGCAATTGCTTGAACGAGTTGAGATATGTCAAGAATTTTAGGAGTACTCCAAATAAAGTTAATAATCTCGAGGGTTTTGCAGCTCGTTTTAATGAGACCAGATAACAAATTTAAAGGAGTTGCCGTGTCATGTTCTTTAAAACCACCAAAGTTGTAGATTAAAGATTTCAGATTTGAAAAAGCAGATCTAAAAGGGTAATATCTTGTAAAGTTTAATCCTTCGCATTGTCTGAATTTCAATTTAGTAACATTAGTGCATTGAACAATAACATCGACAGCCTTTGTGCTTAATTGACAGTCCGAATGATCAAAGAAAGGAGGTGTATTGAAATATCCATTTCCATTACTCATATGTTTAAACGATATAGAGTCGAGAGATTTTGTATGAGATATTAGAGCTTGAACAACGATTGATGCGTAAAAATTACTGTTCAATAAAGAAAATTTAACTAATTGCTTTTGAACACGAATGAGATTTGCTAATGCTATTCCTTCATCTTCACGCCAAACTTTAACCTTAAGATGTTTAATGTTGTGACAATTTAAAGCTAATGCATTAAAGAGTTCGACCTTTTTATCTGACCATTGAATACCACAATTGAAATATGTTAAATTATTACCAAACATTGAAGAGAATTCTGGGTTACTAGGAAGTGCAATCCAATTTTTATTTAGAATTTCCTGATTAGCCAGAAAACTACAGATATCAAATTTCCGTAAAATTGCACCATGGGAAGCAAACATTTTAAGCAACCTTTTTATAAGTTCATGATCAATGGGTTTGCGAATATCAGGCTTACCAACAGCATTACAGAAACAGTCAAAGGGGAGTTCTTTGAGATATGAAGGATAGCCAAAAGGAATTCTATGCGGAGGAAGATTAATTCCTTGTTCATTATCGGGTAAAAATGCTTTATAGACATTAATAATTTTTGGAGATGGTACGAAGCTGTAATCATTTCGAAAAGGAGCTTCCCATAAAATTGGTATAGCAATAGTAGCCCAAGATTTATTGACCAAAACGCAAGAATACAAATCTTTGTTGGTTGTGAGTAGTCTAAAAGCTAGATAGAGGCAATCTTCAACGAGAGTTTGAGAATTTTTATTTGTGGTATCAGTTTTAATTATCAAACTTTCATTTTCTTGAGTCATCTTTGAACGAAAGCACAGTGATAGGCAAGACAAAAATCTATAAAACAAGTAATGTTATATACTTTCAAGAGATACAAAAAGGGTAAAATGGTCACACCAGTAGATAAAGCTTTGATAAGTGTCAAAGAGTTAAGCAATCACCGAAGTGACTGCTATCTACCCCAGACGGTTTTGATTAAGTTCGAGTCTCGCTTGGCACTTGAGACACTTTCCTTTACATTTAACGATACGTGAGTATTTACTTTAACTATACGTTTTTCAATATTACCAGTCAGGAGACTGTTGAATTCTTTATTTACATTTTACTATTTATGCTTACATATTTCGTATTACACCTTAACTATTTCTTTGTAATTAGTTAATTATTGTTCCCCAACTAATCGTCATATTCATGCATTCGGCGATCACGGTACCTATTGTACCCGATCTCGATTATATCCTAGCCCACCACCATTCCAATTTCTGATGCACCATATAACCCATTGTCTATTTGCATTCCTTTAATTAGATATAAGGCCTCTTCGTAAACTATGCAACAATAAGTCAGTGCCGAAAAAAAAAAGATGGTTGGTTAGCGTTTATTAGTTACATATACCGTATTAGCAGTATTGTCATCATGAGATGTCGGTTAAATGAGCGGGGTGAATTCATAATTTTTATTGCGTAGAAAAAAGAAAAAACCATGTTCGGTCGAAATTATTCATTAACCTTTATTATCTAACTTTACATACTATATAACATGAAATATTTATGAAATCGAATTTATTACCGAGAAAAAATATTTTTGTTTTATTTGTGGCAGGTTTTTGAAAAGTTTTTTAGATTTGTCGTGTCGTACACGGGCCTTTGTGGCACGGGCCAAGATCCAGATTTGTACGGGTGTGGTCCGAGTTGGTACGGATTCCGTGGACCGCGTGGGACTGTATGCCCGTGCCAATTGGACCGTAAATGGCTCGGGAATCGGCACGGGATTTGGCACGGATAATTTACGTGCCAACGCGATAACAAATAAGTTCGTAGCTCTCTCACAAAAAATTTTACCCCCTCGTGATTTTTATCCAATTGGGTGTTAAAGTTAGAGGTTAGAGGTTAAGATTAGGGTTAAGTCTCATTGATTAATGTTTTTGTGGGAGATCTGCAGGCGTTATAACAAATACAAACGTGTGTATTAATGGTTAAAACATAGAATTTACATTAGTAATCAATATAATATGAACAAACTAACTGCATAAAGTAAAATTTGTAAGGAATCTTTTTGTTAAGATACTCAGAGCAGCTTTATCAGTGAAATTATGAGATATTGCACTTTTTAAAAAAAAATCATTTATTGATCTTTCGCTCTCCGCGAAACGAGTCAACACGTGTGCAACGTACACATACGTGTCATCTGAACGTGTTGTTCCGTATGACATGATATAACGTGCTACCCCTTGCCGCAATGTCCGTGCCATTTTTACCGTGCTATTCCGTGAAACGTGCCTGTGCGTGCCACACAATCCGTGCCATTTCGGAAACCAACCCGTACCACTTTTCTTACAGGGTTTTTTTGAAATTTTTATTTAATGTTTTTCAACCATTCCTTGCTGCAGAAGATTATAAGACTTTCAAGAAGGTCAAACGCCCATACCAGAGTAGTATCGATATTAACTCAATAAAATAATAAATGTCGCAGCCGATGCTGAAATTTTGATTATTTTATTATTAAATTTTTACAATTTTTGGGGTGCATTTTTTTGGCCTTCATATAATAGTTTGAGTAGAGTTTAGGGTCAGGGTTTACTAATTAAAGTGTATAGCTGAGTTTTAGTATAGTTCTAAATAAAGACCCCAAAATTTTAGCATCAGCCGTTTTCAGCGACAAAAAATAAGCTAACTTCATAAGGATTTTTTATATTGCTAAGCAATTTACAGTTAGTTACATTTTCTTCATTTGATTTGTTACCTTCTGCAATATTATTTTTGTCAAGAACCGGTTAATAGCGTTATCAAGTGATATGCGAATTTCTCACAGTGTTTTTTCAGTTTCTCCAATTAATGGATAATATGAATTTCGTTGAACCTAAATTGAATATTATTAATAGATATATGTTTTTAAAAATGTGATAAACACAAGTTTTCTAATTTGTCAATTCGATTTGAAAATTATAACAAGTGTATAAACTTAAATCAGATTTCTTAAATAACTTTTTAATTTTTTTAAAATTGTATATTTATTATTATTGTATCTTAATATTTATTACATACTTATATTAATTGCTACATTTTACAAACTACTATCTATGCTATTGTGTAAAATAAGTATCTAATTTGAGAATTTGCTCTTCATATAACTATTAATGATATAAATGAAATTATATATTTAAATTTATAATATTTTAAGATAACAAATTTAATATAATTTATATGTATTTATCTCCAGATTTTTAGAACAATATTTGAAAAAGCAAAGTTATATTTTCTAGATTATATAAACTTTAAGTATTCAATTTTTAAAAACCTAACAATTTTTTTAATTTTATTTTATAAAAAAACTTTTTTTTTTATCCTACTTACTATAATAATTTTGAAGGGTTTACATAAAAAAAAAAAAAAGAAAAAGGAATGTAATTATTTGAGATAATTTATAAGAGCAATTAAATTCAAAGAGCTAGGAAAAAGAAGGTAATAATAAGAAGAAGGTAATAATAAGAATCATATAGAATTTTTTAACCTACTTTCACTGGTAAAAATTTAAAAATTCAACATACCGAATTGCTGCTATTCGGCTGTCATTCGACTGCCATTTGACTTGGTTAGTCGAATAGCAGTCGAATGAGTCGAATGGTAACTATTCGGCATATCGAATTTTTAAATTTTACCGGTATTTAAATCATATAAAATAATTTTTCATTGTTCTTTAATTTCGTTAATAAAAAATTTGATCATAGTATAAATTACTAATATACCTTACATTTGCCATTGGGGTGGCGTAAGTAGTAAAAACATATAAAATTTAGATTGCAATAACTCTTGAACAAGCGAAACACACACAAATGAAATTATATTTTTCGGGCTCATTTTAGTGTATTCTTTAAAGTAACAACGCTTTTTTTTTTGTCGTTGTTGTTGTTTGAAGCATAGCGGAGACTCAATTTTCATACAAATGGCCGGTTTTGATTTTTTCAATAAAAAAAATCAAAAACGCAACTTTAAAATTTTTTTGTCTACTCGTATTGTATTGTGCAATAGTGATCAACAAAAATTACGGGGTTGACATTTTTGTTAAAAAATCATCAAAAACGATCATTTTGCATGAAAATTTGGTCCTCCGCTACGCTTTAAACAATAAAAATAAATTTTAAAAAAGGCGTTGTTACTTAAAAAAGCAGACTAAAATGAACCGACAAAAATAATTTTATTTGTGTATGTTTGCTTGTTCAAGAGTTATTACAATCTAAATTTTATATGTTTTTACTACTTACGCTACCACTACGCCAGCGCTAAATATAAAAAAATAATTTTCACTATACACCTGCACTATATTTGTAATTAAATATGCATTAGACACCCTAATATGCCAGGTATCACCCTAATACAGGGAGATCAATAGAGTCCAATGGAGCTGCGAATGGAACTAGTTTTTTTGAGCTCCATTCACGTAACCATTTAATTCCATTGGCTCCATTGCCAACCCTGCCTTAATGTTATGCATTGAAATTAAATTGTGGTTTTAAATCAATTTATATGCGACGGAACTCTAACTAACACGGTTGATTAGAAAATTTAAATTACTTCGTAAGTGGATCTAAAATTAACCTAAATTTTAATTAATTAAAACTGATAAAGGTCAATGGATCAAAAGCATTTAGTTTACGAAATCTTGGAATATTGACATCAAATTTGCCGGCATTTCCTATTGACAGAATATGTGATATATATACTTTGTAGTTTACATTAAGGTGTTTTAAAAACATATTAATTTTTCGAAACTATGGGATGTGGCATGTAATTTAAAATGTATATATTTTAATTTATTTGTAGATTTCTGAGCAATACTGTTATGGTTCACAATCATTTGCTAAAGAGTTGAACTTGTACGTACAAGAAGAAGTTTTTTCAATTCAGTTATGGTAAAGCCAATTGTCATTCATCAATTTCTCAATACCAGCATGATTATATTAATATGGCATGATTGGATTGCGTTTTCATGTGATTTGATACACCTATATTTGGGGGCCAGGTCCATTACGAGATCTTCCGTTATGCATGACCAATCAAAATCGCAAATTTTTGTTTATGCGGATCAAGCAAAAAAAGAAATGAATTATCTCTTTTAACCCCGAATTTATATGGTGTTGTACAGTACATTTAAAATTACATACCGTTTAAACTTTGATAATGAATGGACAACTTAGACATTTTCAATAATTTTTTTTTTACTTTTATTTACAACTTTTTTTTTCGCATTTTTTTCATCTTAAAACAGTTTAGTACATACGATGATTTTGTAAATCAATTTTGTCCTTACTGGTTGCAACAAGAATTGATCAAATAAAGCGTGGCTTAGATCACAATATACTTGCGGTATATTGTTATGCTTTGGGTCATCCATAGTTTACGTTAAACAAGTACAGTATTGTATAAAAATAGAGACCTTGAATATAATTCCATATAGTATTATTTTTGTATTATCTTTAAGATCCCTATAACAATGCCGGTTTAACGTAAAAATTATAAATTATAATTTTTAAGTTATACGTATCTTCGACATATCTAGGGAGAAATAACTTCTTGCAACCAGTGTGTGCATTTATTGTCACACAAATATGGTAATCGTTTGAGCGAAGACATTTCTTAATATATAAAAAACATCACCAAATTCTCATTAAAACCACTTTAGCTTGATCTGTTTACATCTCTGCTAAAGCTTGTTTGTTGAGAAATAAAATCTTATGATTTCTCACCAAAGCCTTGAGAATAATGCTACGCTGTACGATCATGCTCTGCGTAATTCTTACAATTTACATCAAATTTATACTGCATAAAAAATAATAAGTATCGTATCAGAATATTAAAATCTGTCTTGCAAATAAGTAAAGTGTGTATTTATCACCACACAAATATGTATTTCGTAACCTATGACCACATGTCATTGGGGTATTTCATATTGCTAAGTAATCAAGTCTGTATAATGTATTACAATAAAAACTTACGGATTTTTTATAAAGATGCATAATTTGTAAAAAAAAAAAAGAATCACTACAAATTATATGATTCGCCGTCACACCATACAAAATGAAGAATAATAAATACCCTTATTTTAAATAAGCCGATGATGATCTCCGGTCATACGAGGGCCCTCCGGGCCCTCAGGGCCCTCATATTTACCTCTTATTCCCGCCGGTGCAAAAAATAAATAGTACTTATTCACTTATGTAAAAAAAATTTCTGCTATTCCTTAAGTTATTCTATCTCGGTAAGATTATAAATTGTCTGCCATTCCTCATTAAATCATTATAAATTTAACCGGTAAGAATAAATAATTTGCCAATCAAAATATTCGAAAACAATGTATGCACTTCTTATTAACTTTATTAGTTTATTGCTCCATACTGATTTCAAGTTGGTTCAGTCAATATTATTTATTAATCGAAGTATTTGAAATAATCTATGTATCTATTATTAATTTCTTATTCGTGCTGATTTAGGATTCTTATAGCTTGATTTTCTGAAAATTTATATTCAAATTATTATAAATTTTAGTCTTATCTGAACTCAAGTTGTATGGTGCCCTACTTGCACTTATACTGTAAATTATAATAATGCTCATAAAATAAACCCAACAAATCATAAAAAATTAGGCTATATATGTTCGCTATAGTAATTTTATGCTAAATTAGGACCGATAGTCTTTTTGGTCCGTCTATAAAAGACCAGACAGGCCCGGTCCTAAGACAGAGCGCAAGACCGGGTTTTAGTCTTATCAAAATATCTTAATTTAAAATTTCACATCACGCTTTCGGATGTGACTGATTATAATGCGCTAAAATTTTTTCTTATGACCCAATCCGGATCAGAAGATTAAAGATCGACGATCCAAAATACCTAATTTATTCATTTCCACAATTACTAGACCGGATCCGTCTGATCTTAGATCAGATCGATATGATAGACCAATTTATCATCTCAAGGCTTGCTCACTGCATTGGGGTTAGAAAAGTAATTGCATTTTTTCACATCAATTACGTACGTAAATGTACGGGAATTCTATTTGTAGCACTAATTAATTGAATGCATGAAAAGAGCTACTGTATTTGTTTTGATTATTAATGTCCTTAATTTCCTTATTTTGATACGTATTCTTAAATAAAAAATTATTTTTAGTGCATTTTGAGGTTCAATTCGTATGAAACTGTTGACTACATTATAAAAACAAAAAATGGCTCTCAAAAAATTTTTCAATTCACTTTTATCTTCTCGAGGCGTTTATTCTCTGATCGATCCTAATAGAAGTCAAAAAGAAACACAATCTTTGACATTTCGTCATATTAAATTAAAATTATGTTTTTTTTTTCGAGATGGTTCTTATTCTTCATTTAATTATCTTAGTTTATTCTTATCAACCGTTTTTCAATTACCAAAATCACTCATCGGTATACTACTATCCGTGATGCCATTTATGGGATTCATTAGCTCGACTTGTTGGAGTGTAAGATTTATTCTATTTTGACGAATCATTAATGTAAATTGACCAAAGAATCATTAATTAATTTGAAAATTTTTGATTAAAAGATTCTTGCAGATAAATGGGATATACATCGCAAGATTATGATTTTATGTATTACATGTATTATCTTACTGTTTTGGTCTTTCCCATTTTCTGGAAAATATTTTGGCTTTTGTGGTCTTTTTATCAACTTTGTTCTTTATTCAATATTTGATGGGGGTGTTGGACCATTGATGGATAATCTATCTATAAGTATGCATTTTTTCGGTTATTATATATTATAAATTTCTTGTTAATTTATTTTATATCTTTTAATGAATTATAGATATATTAAATCGTAATGGAGATATTACAGAATTTGGACGCCAGGTAATAAGCCTTAATCACATTAATCCATCATTAATTATATTTATAATACTACTATATTATTTAGCGTCTTTATGGGACCTTAAGTTATGGGCTTTCTGGTGCCATTCTTGGATTTCTGGTTGATAGATTTGATTCACTTTATGCCATGTTTTTCGTATTTGGATTTTTCATGGGAATGTTTTTATTAGTTCTACAATTTATACCTTGGAGGGATTTCAAAATAGATCATCATGATGAATTAATTACTGATAATATAGACCTCGACCAATTTGGAGGTATGTCAAATGAATCCTCCACACAAATTGTAGATACAAAAATCATAGAAACAACACCGCCACCTTTCATGGAATCGTTTCTTAAACTTATTACAAAACCACGATTATTATTATTTCTTTTTGTGCTGCTTTCGACACGTACGACGAAAATGGCAACGTCAACATTTCTCTATGTATTCTTAGCAGGTTTTATCTTTTTTAAAAACGAAAGTTATTTTTTTCAGTATACGATTATATACGATTCGTAATCTAACATTTATATACAAAATTAGAGGACCTTAAAGCTGATGCAACGATATTAGGATTAAGTACCTTCATAGGAATAATTCTTGAAATATTCGTTTTTTATTATGGGGAATATGTCTTAGAATTTACGTTTCCGGAAGTTATTATTATAGCAGGAGGATTGTCATCTACTCTTAGAGCTGCATTATATGCGTTTTTTGGCATAAATATGAATCCTTGGTTGTCTCTCCTAATCGAGTTGGTAATAATAATAACAATAATAATGATAATGATAATAGTTACTTACGATCATTTATTAACGGTTATATCACTTATAATAATTATTATTTAATAGAACCAAGGATTTGAGTATGGGCTGGTAAAGTTAGCATCTCTAGAAATTATAACACAAGTAGCACCACCGAGATTGAGGGGTACAGCGCTTGGTATATTTGCAGCCATAGAAAGTTTGTCTACAGGTCAGTATTTAAAGACAAAACATAATTCTTTTAAAAAAAAACAAAAACAAAATTCATTTTAATTTTTATGAGTATTTTATGTACGTTTAAAAGGTCTTGGACAAATTGTCGGGGGACTATTTTACGGAAATTTTGGTGCCGTTAAAATGTTTCTATATTCATCATGGATTGGAATATTGTCAATCATTATTTACATTGCTGGAATTTTATGGCAGAGAAGACATTTCGATTTCTCTTGAAGATAATTGTATAATATTATATGATGGCATGAAAATCAAAAATAGAAAATAATACTCACAAAATATAATTTTATATATAATAATTGACATCGTGAATTTAATAAATCTGAAAGGAATTTCACATTTAAATAGTTAAAATTTCATAGAATAGTTAAAATTTCAAAGAATAGATAAAATTTCATAGAATGATAAAATTTCATAAACAGTTAGAACTTCATAGAATACGTATGTTTATAGTCAAACGTACACATAGCAAAGAATTCGGCTTGAAAAATTTAACTATAATCAGTCTTTAGTAAATGTTTTAAGTGCAGATTTTAGTATGTAAAAAATTAATAAACATGTTAATATAAGAATCAATCAATAGCTTTTTCCCTGATTGTAATAGGATTTTTTGACATTTAAACTAATGTTAAATATTGGTGCATTTATATAATCATGATTGGCTAAATAAAATACAAATAATTATTTAATACTTCACTATGATCAGTTTATAAAATAAATCAATTATTTTATGGTATTTTTAAATGATAAAATAATTGAACTATTTCATAAATCTGAGATAGTAAAGCATAAAATAAAACCGTTATTGCATACTTCGTATGCAATAACTATATAGTATTCTGAATATATAATTGTTTTTTTAAAAAAAATATTATTTTTCACTTCAAACACTTGAAAAAATTGTTGTTAACTGCATGAATAATAGAAAAAATGAAAGACATAATAATCATTCAAATAAGGTCGCTGTTTTACAAATCTGTTAAGCAAATTTGAATCCTTATTATCTTTAATTAAAATTGAAGTCATCGAAGAACTGAAGGATCAATCGAATAAACATAATCGTGGCTCTCAAGTATGTCAAGCTTGTCTTATCGAAAATTTTTACGAAACGCCGGCACCAAGCAAAACTTAACCTGCCAATAAGCCCTTTTCAGAGTACCACAAATGAAGTATCTGATCAAAATTGAACAAGATACGTACGTACGAAAAGTAACGGTTGTCATCTCACTAGAAAAAAAAAAAATTGTGAAAGTAAGGTTGTATACGTCAAGATGTACACAATCATTAAATTTGTAAGCATTCATTATAACAAATGTTTATTGCATTATTTTGGTTTGTCTCATTTTCGGTACAATATATCGCTATGAAGAACATATTGCTTCTTCTGCTATCGAGCAACCTGCACAACCCTTTTTGAGTATCGATTTGCCATTAGCATCATTATGTTGTCAAACTTTTATTCTGTTTTGACTATATATAAACTATGAAGTTATTTTTCGTCTTGATATCGAGGGTCACTTTATTTAGTTTAAAGTTTAATACTACCATGTAATAATACATTTAATTTTTATGCTTTAGTTTTTCTCTTAAGTTTTGTTTTTACTTGTTCTGCTTTTATTTCAAATATAAGATATTTTCAAAATAATAATAACGTGCGCACAACCATCAGAATACTTTATGCAAATTCATCAACTATTAGTTGTCGGCATACAATTACTAACCTCTAGGTTTAGTCCTAAAATCTTTTCTTTTATACCTGCCCGGTTAACAATCGATCTTAAATCACCTTTTGAATCTTTATCATAAAAATGTCTAAAGTGGAAGCCTTGTGTTCAAGTCGCACTAATATTGATTATTTTGGAATTGTGCTGTGATACATAATCTTGAATAAAGTACGTAGTGAAACTTCTATACACACTTGTGTCACTACTATACTACTCTCTTACGTACGTACATAAATTTATTTGTAAATGGCAGCGAAATTTTTTGAAAATCTTTCAAGCAATTACCTTGAACTTCTTGAAGATAAAGAAGACTTTAATGTGATTATTAAAATTGGTGAACTTCCAAATACTAAAATATTTCAAGCACATTCTGCTATTTTGAAAAATCGATCTTTATATTTTCGTAATGAATTGAAAAAAGTTGACAAAGATAAAAATAATATTAAAACGATTAATTTGAAAAATGTTTCAATGCAACAATTTGAAGTTATTATCAAGTAAGTTATGTGTTTTTTCGACCACATAACATATTATGTATATGAAATTACTAACATTCTTTAAAATAAAGATATATTTATGGAGGGATAGCTTCACTGGAAAATCTTGAAGCATCATTTATTTTTGAGTTAATGCTTGTTGCTTATGAACTTATTCTTGAAGAGTTGGCTAAATATTTAGAAACTTTTTTAATTGAATCAAATGCTCATTGGCTTCGTTTACGTTTTACTCGTATTTATCAAGAAGTTTCAAAAATAACAAGCTTTTAACGTTACAAAAATGGTGTAACGATATTGTAGTAAAGTATCCAGATAAAATTTTTGAATCTGAAGATTTTATATCTCTTCAAGAAAATGCATTGGTTTCGTTGATTGAACGTGATGATTTACAAATGGAAGAAGTAAAAATCTGGAATTACGTTATCAAATGGGGTATTGCACAGAATCCTGGTTTATTATCAGATCCTGAAGAGTGGTCTAATGAAAACATCTTAGCATTAAAAGCTACTTTAAAAAATTGTTTACCTCATATCCGTTATTTTCAAATTCCTGGAGAGGTTCTTTACGAACATGTTCAGCCATATCAACAAATCCTTGAAAAAAAACTTTGGAAAGATTTAGTCAAAAAACATATGGCACCAAATCAACCAATATCATCAGTGATTCTTCCACCTCGTGTTATTTTAGCAACAGAATTACCACGCAGGTCAACTGAACCATTTTCGAAGGTCATTAATGAGGAACAAGCAGCTGAAATTGCTTCATGGGTCGATAAAAAAGCTGATACGTATCCTATGTTAAATAATCCATATGAGTTTAAATTACTTCTTCGTGGAAGCAGAGATGGATTCACTCGTGAATCATTTTGGAATTTATGTGATAAGCAAAAAAATTTGGTTATTGTTATAAAAGTTAAAGGCACTGATGAAATTCTTGGTGTATATAATCCTATTGGATGGAATAAATCTGGTCAGAAACGGGAAGATTGCAGCGAGTGTTTTATTTTTTCATTTAAAAATGGCACTGTCCAAAACTCTATTTTAAGTCGTGTGAAAACATCAAAAGGTGTAATTTTAAACGATGTTGGTTGTGGACCAATATTTGTTCATGGTCTTTTAATGTATTTTCATAATGACAAATGTTGTTGCCATGATGGCACATATTTTGAAAAATTAATTAGAAAAGAATCTACATATATTTCTAAATATTCATACTTTTTAGTAGAGGAATATGAAATATTCCAGATTCATAAAAAAGCTACATAAACTTCCGTTACCAAATAATTTACGTTTAAAAATACAACAACCATAAATATTGATTTAAATATTTTGGTTTGGTGGCAGAGTTTAAAGGTTCTGTTGTTCATATAATCGTTTAATAAATTTGATTTTATTTCACGACTCTTGAATAATCCAAAAGATGGACGAATATTATTAAAGATAGGAAACTTACCATTAAGTTTGAGTTGATGAACTACTCCTTTATTATGGGAGCGAGATTATAATAATTTTTCCGAAATTTTCAAAGTGTCTACGAATGAAAATTTTGTGATAAAATTATCTCATATCTGATGTTTCGTTGGCAGCAACCTTTATCAGTACGTACCTTTAGTTGGTAATTTCACCTTATTGCCTTAATCATTAACTTTGTTATATGAGTGTCGCCAAAAGAAAACCCGACAATTTAAATATAGACTATATTTAAATTGTCGGGTTTTCTTTTGACGACACTCATATCTTTACTGATTCTTTTTGATTATTTAATGATTTGATTTTAACTTCTTGTACAGTTTCCTATTAACCCATTCTAGTTATTTAGCTAATTTGACTTTAATTATATTATTACTTAAATATTGTACGTAGTACAGCAGATGAATGCAATTAATGTGATTGTTCTCAAACATTTCTTTGGATGTAAGTGAACAATTAATTTGACATAATTTTAGATATTCCTTATAAGTTTTAGGAATAATGATATGAGATTTGCACAGATATTATTTCTATAATTTTTTAATAATTGTATCAACGCTCAATTACTAAAATAAATACTTTAAAGCTTGAACGGCCTTTTTATCATTTCCTACATAGTTTATTAAATTTCATAGAAAAATTTGCAAATACAAAATAAAGGAACAACTCAACTACCTCCATTGCTTGCTTACATGTAATTTCCATATATTAATTTTTGCCAATAGTACTAATAGGCTTGTTAATACATAACAGTATTATAAATATTGTACATACGTAAATAAGCTATTTTATTTAGATACAGTATTTCATTCAATACTATGTACTGCATAATCATGGTGTTTATTTTGATTTATACATTTTCATTCTTCTCTTAAATTTTATTTTTACTTTTGCTTCCTTTATTCAAAATAAAAGAGGTTATCATTCCTCAGTTCTTATTAATAAGAAACTCTATTTTAGTAGTGGACGTATTATTTCAAGTGACAATATAAATGAATTCTTTTATTTAGATATCGCTAAACTATTCACCCATGAATTGACCTTACTTATGCTCGGGTCCTTTTAAATAATATACTATAGCATGTATTGGTGAAAAAAAATAATGATTCAATTTTTATTTTTGGTGACGGACCATTTGTTAATCAATTTGATTGCTATTTTTAGCGGGTTAAATAATAATGGTAACTCAAATGTTCTTTGTATATTTAATACTAACATGGAGAAAATATATTGGTGGAGGTAGTCCTGATAATATTTCTGTGGATATGGCAATGAGTATTGTGAGCATTATCTTTTAGTAAAATTGATTTCTTTAATTAATTCTTCGTAGTTACCGTTATATAATACAAAATCTGATACGTGGGCAAATATTGTATGTAACAAAAGTACATATATATTTTTTATTATGATTATAGTAACTAATACTGTAATTTACTGTAAATCTGATATATTATTAGAATACACCTAGCCAAACACTTTCTAGCGTGATTTTTTCTCTGCTGTACTAGGTATGTTGTTTAATAAAC